CGTGCCAGTTCTTTCTACGGGTGCGCGACAAAGAGGATCAACGGAGTCAAGACGCGAAAGACCGTGATGCAACACGCCGCGGAAAGAAAAAGATAGGAAAGGCCGTGAGGGCGAGAGGGAGAGAAGTACGCGAGCGGCGCTCGAGACGCGTATTTAACGGCTAGACCTGTTTTCTTTGACGCGCGATCTGTCACGCTTGATTACGATCGTAAATCCCGTGCTCTCATTAGAAGCGGCGCTCGCAGCTCGCCGGACACGCGCATAGATACAGCGAGCTGATTGCGAAAGAACATCTTTCTGGCCGGGGCTCGGGTCTCGCTCGCGACCGATATTTATTCTAAGATCTCTCGACCGCCGCCGGCCGACCTGCAAATAGCTGCCCGATTGATGGATTTGACTAACGAGCCGCGTCCGTAACGGCGAACGTTCGCCCGCCGCCAGATATTTTACTCCGACGAGAATCACGAGAATGGTGCTCTCCGGTCTGAGACGAGAATTAACGCGCGACCCGAGGATATCCGGCAGAAACGCGTTGCTACTTTCCAAAATGTTCGCAAAATAATTGCCAAAACGGCCTCGAAATTCGTCCGTTTCGAGAGAAAAAAAAACATACCGATTCGATGAACATTTGTTTCCATTTCCGAGCGAAATCCAGCATTGTGAAATGTGTTGGATTTTGCGCCGCGACGCTACGGGCTTGTATTGTCGTCGCCTGGAATACGAAGTTGCAAATGAAACACGTTTGTGAGTCGAAGCGTGCACGCCAGAAATTGACGGAACATCTGCCAAGTAGACAATAGTGTTTTGCCAGCAGCTATTATGAAGGATATTTTCACCGTTCGACGAAATAGATGTAGCTTGTGCAAAGAACGTTAGATTTGTATTGTAGTAATTAGACTGCGGATTTTTGTGCAAGATAAGAACGTTCTTTACCAATCGCCGTAATCAAGGGTCAGATAGTAGTATCTTTCTCTCTTTAATCGTTTCGGTAAATCGAAAATAATATATAAAAAGAATGTTAAATTTGTTAAATTTGTTAAATTCCTCCGATGTTTTTGTTGGGATTATGGAATGAAAATGAATATGATTCTAATACTTTGCTTAAAAGGACTTTATTTTATTCTCTTAATGANTGTTGGGATTATGGAATGAAAATGAATATGATTCCAATACTTTGCTTAAAAGGACTTTATTTTATTCTCTTAATGAGAGAAGGTATATGAGCGAAACCGATCGAGCGATCAAACTCTACTAAGGTGCCCGGTAAGAAGAAACGCTTCTTTTATACTCTTTTTGGGTTCGTCGTGTCCACCAATCAGAGACGTTTTATTTGTCGCGTCTTACATTGTATACGTGACGGTCAGGGCACGATGTACATCAAAAGGTACCGGCGATGATGTATCGCGGCATCTAATATATACAGATTCCGTCACCGTCGCTGCCCGCTGACGGAGCCGGCGAAATGTAAACCGATATCTTAACTGAAGATATCTTACTAAGTAAACTATAGATTAATTTTTGTTCGAGGCTAATATTTCAACAGTTTTAAATTTGATCGACTAGTTTTCGCGGTAAATTCGTGAAATCCGCAGTCCAGTAATAATCAACGTCTTGAACAAGAAGACGCGCCACGAGAACTCGAGGAACCAAAATGGCGTCGCAACGCTCGGAAAAACCGCAGAGGTGACGGGGTGAGGTATGCGGGGGAAGTGTGAAATGGCGGATAAATTCGAACCTGTACGAAGAAACAAAAATTTACAAGCTACAATCAGACTATATATTATTAATGGACAGCGGATTTCACGCGGTTATGAGAAAAACGAGCAGGCGAAATACGGAGCGATGAAAACAGTCGAAGATTTAAAGAATGCTGTCGCGTTAATCTGGACTCGTTAAAATTAACACAGAAAATACATTTTTCTTCTGTTCGTCGCAGTCGAGGTAGATCATTTCCTATTTTGCACAAAAATCCGCCGTCCGATTGTGAAACAAGAGAAGACTTGGAAAACCAAAATGGCGTCGCAGCACTTTGTACACCGCAGACGTGCCGGTGGAAGAGAAAATTGTGAAACGGGAGAAGAATTCGAACGTACAGAAAAAAGAAAACGAAAAAATTGCTATCGGCAGTCGAAAAACTCGATCGAGAAGACGCGATGTATCGCTGACTCGGGGAACCAAAATGGTGTCGCAGCGCTACGAATAGAGACTCTCTGATAAGAATCTCGAAATAAAGGTAAAGTTAAGTCTCTGGACGCCATCCTCGAAATACACCGTGTCATCCACACGCGCGTGTAGCAAACATAACCAAATAAAATGGCGACGCAGTCGTGTCATACTATACATTATACATACACTGACATTCAGGGTGGGTGAAAGATCGGGGTACAACCGGCCAGGGGATGATTCTACATGGAGAAATAAGTCGAAGAAAAGGGTAACATCTTTCATTTAAGACGGCGTTTTCGCGAAAACTGAGTAGAAATATTCGTGAAGTACGCGTAGCTTGCAGTACGACGAGAAGTAGAATTCGTGTGTCATGACCAGACGCGTCACTTTATTCCCATTCGATTGTAATTTAATTACAATATAATAATCTATTTTTTTAAACGTTCTCCTTTTCATTTCGACTTACTTTTGCACGTAGAGTCATCCCCCCTGGCCGGCTGTACCACGATTTCTCAGCCACCCTGTACATTATACAGTAATGTCTCCTTAACTGACGCTCAGATTGTGCAGAAAAATGGCCAATTTGGGAAAAGGAGATGCGATTATTCGATGCTCGCAGCTCGTTTTTATAATTGTTGACAATTCGTGGCTATAAATACGAACCGCAAGGATCGAATAATCGTGTCTCCTCTCCCTAAATTGTCCATTTTTCCGGACGATCTGAGCGTCAATTAGAGAGACATATTACTGTACTTGTTCGCTAAAAAACATGAAAGCACCGATCGGAATCGCGGACGCAGTTTCGTGACTGTTGTTAGAGGGTCTCCGGCTGCGAACACGTTGGCGTCGCCGCGCCGGTATCGGGATACACGTCCGCAACAGCAGAAGAATGTAAAACGGTGGAAGTTATAGTCCAGCGGTCAGGTTAAAGAACCGCGTCCGGATCGGTGGCGTGACCGAGGGGCCAAGATTTCATTGAGGAACAATAGGCACATGACACCTGCTGAGGGCAAGCCGCGTTGCCTAGACCTAGATTACGACAATAATGCCGGGTTCCCGGCGTTAACCAGAACACGAACGAAGACCGAGGATGAAAAGAGGAGGACGGAGACGCGGAAGAGCCGGGGGAGACGGCCGAGAGAGACGAGCAGACCCGGCCAGAGAAGAACGGACAAAGACGGAGCCGCCTGGCACGAGTCTAGCACTGGGGCAATGTCACACCTAAGCTATTATTCTCATTCTCCGCAGGCAGACTTACGGCAGACTAATAACCTGTCACCAACTGCCGCCACGGTTGCGACCAGCCTCTTTCCATCCCCTTCTCCCGGCCAGCCAGCCCTACAACCGCTAGCAACCTCTCTCTCTCTCTCTCTCTCTCTCTCTCTCTCTCTCTCTCTCTCTCTCTCTCTTCATCACTCTGTCATTCTCTCTCTCTCTCTCGCTCCGATAGGATTCCCAGCGATTGTGTGTGCGTGCTGTTTATCCGGCCTCCCTCGCCATCTCCGAACTTCTCTTTTACAAGAGAACTCGGCACGACTATTTATGTAAACGTCAACTAACCTCGGGCAACCCCAACGCGGAACAGGGCTATTAACACCGGCGCGTGTCGCGCTAACACGTGCGCTCCCCCTTTCGCCGATGAACACGCCGGAAAAATTAGATACATCGCGCTCGTTCTTTTCCTTTTGCCGCTCTCTTCTTTTTTCCGCGACGCCTCTGGAACGAGCCGCTTTCATCGCTCTCGCGAACTTCTTCTACCCCCGCGTGGCAATTGACGATGATGCTGTTCGTAGGAGCGCTTTTAAAGACGCGGCTGCTTCAGAGCATCTGTCTTCGGACGCGAGAGGTCTACGGACACCAAGCGGAGAGCGATTTTTTTAAGGCGATTTATCTGTCAGCAGACGCGAATCAATGTCGAATAGGTTGCGTGGATTTTCGAAAATGCGGCCGTCGTGGGAAATGTTCGCGGCTGGTCAATCCGGGGTGCGGCGTCTGCTTTAAGTGACCGTGGTTGCGTAGACAGCGGATTTTATGCAATTTTGCGGCAAAAACATGTAGCCGCGATTTCGTTAACAGTTGAACGATTGAATGAATTACAAGGTGTCGGTGTACCATTCGTGAACTACCGAAATTGTTTAAAAAAGAAGAAACTTTCTATTTGGTTTTTCTATTTCGTGAAATTGATGTAGGCAATTTCTGTGCGAAGCAACAATTGTATACTTCGATTTGCAAGCCGTCAGAGTTATAGAAACATTGACTCTCATTTTTATTTAGACATCTTAATTTTAATCTACTCATTTTTGTGTATTGATGCATGAAATTCACGGTACAATGACGAGGATAACAGTTGTTCTTATTTTCATGCCGTACCGAATAAAGCGCGCTAAACTGAACTAATTAACAAATCTCGAAAATTCTGTTTTCACGCGATAGGTACGTTCCGATTTCGAAAAATGGGAGATTGGTTCCTTGTCTTTAAAATCTGTAAAAAAAATAATAGCGAAAATAAAAGGATTCATAGAAAAAGCTTTATCGAGGATTTTTATAAAAAGCTAAATCTGATTTAGGACTGCCGATTTTACGCATTTTCGACGAAAATTACCGATAAATTAATAACAGAATTGCAAAGACAATTAGAAGAATTTGAGAATATTTTTCTATCGAATACAATCGATCGACATTATCAAAACAGAAAAGACATTTCCATCGAACTTACGTGTCTTATCATTAAACTGCGCATCTTTATGCGAAATAAGAATGATTTTCAACAATTGAAACCAACAATGCAATTAATAATTTAAGTGAGTTGAAAATAATGCACGGACATCCCTAAGTTCTTTTGAAATTTTCATGGTTTCTTTAATTTACAGTTTCAATTAGTCCACTTGACATCGTCGTAGAAAATATTTATTTTGCATAACATCCGTAGCATCCGCAGTCTATTCGTCAAGTTTCCTCGACTTCCCGAAGATCCTCTTCCAGGTGCCATCGTCCTCCCCCGCGTCTAATCCGAAGATTGATCTCCGGAGGTCTGGCAGGCACGCGACCGCCGTTTTCTACCCGTAGCCGTCTCTTTTTCTCTTGCCTCGAACCTTTTGTTACCGCGTCGGGCCGATTCGAGGGCCGACTTTTTGCCGGGAGCGTGTTTCGCTCCGGATTACACGATCTGCATGTTGACCCTCCGACTCTGTGATTGGATTCCTTGGGTGTTTGGGAGGGGCAGGGGGTTGATTATAGTGTGCGGCGGGGCTTCTTTCAATCGGGAACGATGCGTTAATCGTCGAAGCAATGAAGATTTCCACTTGTAGATCCTCGTGTATACAGGGTGGGGCATTTAAAACAGATATCACATGAATAACTCGCTTATCTGTAACAATAGGAAAAAGAAATTTCGGACGAAGGTTGCTTGACCTCAATGGCCACGTAATATGGCGATAGTAATTTCGTGATGGGCGGAGACGTGGAGGACATACGAATGTCAAACCTAATTTTTTTAAATGGAATGATATACTTTTCATTCCAGAATCTAATTCCACGTAGACAAAGGAATAAGATTTGTTCGAAGCATTTTTTGCAGGCGCTTTGCTTTTCATGATATCGAGATACACACGTACAAACTTGGAACATCTTCGTCAACGGAGTCAGTGTAAGTATGTTAACAAAAGTATTATCAAATGTCGATAATGTTACAGAACGTTACAATCGAGCATCGATACTGTTACAGAACGTTGAAATCAAATGTTAATATTGTTACAGAACGTTACAATCGAAAATCAATAATGTTACAGCATGTATGCAGAAACGAGATTCGTGCCTTCATGTAGTAAAAGTTCACCTAACTTCTGTCTCCAGATGAAATTAATATGTTTGATTTTTTCCTCACTGTGTCAATATTTAGTATGTTCTATCGCATCAAAAAATTACGAACGGAACATTTGTTTGTTCAACGAAAATGTATAAATTGTTAAATACGTAAAGTATCAAAGTTAGGTGAAAAATCGAAAAATCTGCGATGCGGCTATTCTTGAGAAACGTGCGCAGGCAAACCGCACTTCATCAATGTTTCGATGTTCATTTTACATTCGTTGTAAAATGACGTCTCGAAAGAATCAGCATTTCTAACGAAATCATCTTGTACTTTTTTCAAGTCCCGGACGCGGTCTAATTTTCTACATGAAATTAGACCATCGCCTTTCGTACGAAATGTTCTACATGGATCGAAATTTATCAACGGATAGAAAAACCATGGAACAAGTTACGTGGACACCCGGTTAGCACACGACGTCTTAAGAACGTCCATTTTACGCCCATTTTAGATCTGAACGTCTTACGACCTGAACTCAACGTCTTTAATCATTTTAGCGCCGAACAACATCTCTCGCTTGAGAAAATGTTATTTTAATATTCTTAATAACAAAACAGTATCATTTCTCGTTTCTTCTCCTCTTTGAAATTTTCTGATCATCAATATTTGTAACATTTCTGTAACGTCTCTCCGAAACTTTAGCAAATGATCTCTATCTTCGTTCGACACTAAGAGGATTAAGACGTCTCGTTTCAGACGTTAATACGACGTTCGATTCGGGACGATTTTTTAAGAATCATTTGGACATGGTTCCGACGTTTGAAATTTACGTGTTCAAGACGTATTAAAAACGTCCCGAACTAGACGTCGTTTTGACATCTGAAATAATCGCTTTAAGCGATTTAAATCTTAAAGCGATCCCCGAACTAGATGTCTATTAAAACGTCCTGAATATGCTACAACGGACGACTTTCAGACGTCTATGTGCTATCTGGAGCTAAATGTACTCTACGTGCACAGTCCACATTGCGACGAACTTCTGAAAGAAAATTAAGGTCACTATCCGTTTCTCAAAACGGATCTCGAACAGGCAATACCGTTCTCGACGTTTTATGAACACAGAATAATCGAAGTGGAGCAAAAATGCTCGAGTACATGAAACCAGGCTCTGGTATATCGATTGTTTATACCTCGACAAATCCATCATATACGAATAAGCACTTCCTAAAAGTAGAAGCACGGCAAAACCGTGGTGCCTGGAACAAATTTAACAACTTCAATCCCGTTCCGCGAGTTCGATAGTTCGCAGCTCATCTCCAGATGAGAGAGAGAGAGAGAGAGAGAGAGAGAGAGAGAGAAAGAAAGAGAGAGAGAGAGAGAGAGGAAGAGAAAGAGAGAGAAAGAAAGAGAGAGAGAGAGAAAGAGAGAGAGAAAAAGAGAGGGATAGAGCACTTGATCTGAAAACGGAAAAGCCGTGTGACAAACGATTCCCATCGCATGCGAAACATTTTTTCGCGGCTCTCGCGAGGTAGGCACGCGTCGCGAGCTGTCGCGGCAAAAATATGGACCCGGGCGAGCGTGCAAAGCGATTGTCGAGGTATTATAGACGATCAGCCAGCCGTGACACAGGTTCAATCGGGGGTGGTCGAGCACATGCTGAATTACACAGATTCTCCCACGCTACGTGGACACGACGGACACAGAGTACAGAGTCGCACACAGACAAAAACACACACACATACATAGTACAAACACACGCGCGCACACAAACACACACGAACACACAAAGACAGGTTGATCTTTCCGTTGCCGTTCGTTCTGGCTTCCTCGTCTCGCTCGCTCGTCTCTTTTTTCTTGCGTGGTTGCGCTTTCTCGTTTCGTCCACATTCTCCCATTTCTTGCGCTGGGTGCTCTTTATATGCCGGTCGTTTTCCTCCCTTTAAGTCGCCTCGTTGGCCGCTTATCAGCGAAGGCTCGATTCCCTCGTATCGGCGAACGCGACGCACACAGACACACGCGCGCGCGCACGCACACACACAGCGTAGACCGCACGTACACGAAGTCGCGACCGTTCTCACAAAAGGCTCTCGTCCCCGCCGACTCGGTCTTCCCATTTGCCGGGTTATGAATGGATTCGAACTATGTACTATTAGGCCATCAACCGCGTGCGCGCGCGATACACCTCGTTTTCTCTGTTTCTCCGTGTGTCCTCTGCGCGCACGTTGATCCGTGTGCACATTGATCCGCGTGTACGTGTAGATCTGTAACAGGGCAAACGTGGAAAGGAGAGAGAGAGAGAGAGAGAAAGAGAGAGAGAGAGAAAGATAGAGGACAGAGCGCGGGACGGGGGTGAGGAGGACAAAGAGGGAGCTCACCGAGGGACCGGGCAAGAATGAATGGCACACGCCACGTTAATAGCTTGTTCTCGCTTCAGGGTTGGCCGAGGTCAGTTCACTTTTAACCGGGCCGATGCCGTTATAACTCGCACGACCGTCACCTGTCTTCTTTTTGGCCGGCGTAATATGTTAGAGGGATTTCGAGCGTGAACTTGCCGACTGAATTGATGACTGAATGGCCCGAATGGATGAATGGGTGCGAGCAAGATTACGGGCTCGCTCCCGCCGGCACCGGTCTGTCTGGCACTGCTACTGTCCGATGATCCGAGTTCTGATTTATTGTTGCGATCCCCAGACCCGCGGTGCCTCGATCGTCCGAGAACGGACGGGCCCGGCTTTTGTTCTAGCGAATTTACACGCGCCGAGTCTTCCGCGTCCATCGATCCGCTTCCGTTTCTTTTGTCGTCTGTTAATCGTACGCCGTTCGGGACATCGGTCGCATCGGCGGACGAGATTATGGGACACCTAGGAAATTATCGGTACGGGAACTTAATGTAGTACTGACGTTAGAGCGACGGTTAAGTTGACCGTTTCGCATTCTTTCTCTTTTTATTTTGATATTGTTGACGTTGCGAAGACTCTTTTGTAGGAAATAATCGAGTCGATTTTCAAATTCAAGCGTGCATTATAATCAAATTGTTGAAACATCGAAATATTGGGTTGGCAACTAAGTAATTGCCGATTTCAGTTATAGATGTCTCTCACTCCCATTTTTATGATATCCGTAAATGTTATATTATAAAATTATTATTGTTATTATTATGTTATTTTTTATTATCCGTGAATGTTAGCAACTGGACAAATTGAATGCAGCGGTCAAGGAAAAGCGACCAGAATTGGTCGATCGTAAAGGTGTCATTTTCCAGCAGGACAATGCTAGGCCGCACACGTCTTTGTCCACTCG